ACCTGGACGCTGTTTCAGACACTTGGTATTATGAGACTTGTGATTTCACAAGTTCACTTTCAACCCCATTTTGAACAACAGAATTACTAATTGTAGCAGTTCTGTACAATTAAGAAAATTTCATTTTCTACCAATTCCATTTCTTAAGCTAATAAAAATGATTTTTAAGTGTTTTTTGGCATATCTTCAAGAAGGAGAAACAGTTTTAGACTCAGAAGGTTTAAATTTTTTCCTCTAATGACTTATTCCTAAAATTACTAGTCTGGTATGAAAATACATTTGTATTATTTCTAATGCCACATGATCATGCCCTGCTCGGAAGGGAATTAATATAGCTTCAAAATTAATCTTTTTATGTAGCATAAAAGTACAAGAAAATCCAGCTGCATTTCTTAGAGCTATCCAGCAACATGTTGATCCTGATGTTCAGCTGGTAAGTATAGGATCGTTTTTTTGTTTTAATATATAATTGTTATTTTTTCTTTTTGTCTAACAGTCTGGAAAGCAGGAATCTGAACAAACTCTTGCATGATATCTTTGTAAATTGCTGCGCATTTTCCAAAGTATCCAAGAAAGTATTAATCCTAGCATTTTCATCAGTAATATTTTATTTCCTTTTCATATTTCTAATATTAATTTTAAAATACTTGTTGTTACCCCTATACCAGCCTCTTGGGTGTCTGCATGTTTTTTAACTTATTGGGGGCCCTTATTTACTTAAGATTTAAGAGAAAATGCCCCCACCTTATCTCATTAACGTTGGGACACCCAGTGTTCTTCCCAATGTTTCAGGAGATTCGTGGAGGGTTTAGGGTTCCTTGAGTCACCTATGGCCCCAACTTCCTACTTCCTCTGAATTCTTCCTGTCCTCTGTGTGTTTCATCTTTCGCTAGTGCCATTTCCTTCTGTACTGCATCACCCTGTGAGAAAACGAAAAAAACAAACCCATTGCCATCGAGTGGATTCCGACTCATAGCGACCCTATAGGACAGAGTAGAACTGCCCCATAGAGTTTCCAAGGAGTGCCTAGTGGATTCAAACTGCTGACCTTTTGGTTTGCAGCTGTAGCAGTTAACCACCATGCTGCCAGGATTTCCATCACCCCGTGAGACACTCCCAATTGCCTCATTTCCCAAAGTGCCGCAAGTGTGTACGTGACTTGGCAGAGCATTTGGGGCCAAGGTACGATTACATCCCATCCCATCATTTCAGACAAGTTGAAATGAGCATCCTAGTTCCTAAAAATCCCTTGACCATTCTCATTTCTTGGAATTCTTTTTATGTTTTTCCATGGCCTCAGCCTCCCGCTATGTTGCAATGCTTTTCCTCTATCTGTTGCATCCCTTCTCCTCACCTCCCTAGCTTACCCATCTTGTTTATCTATTATTTTTCCCAAACCATTTGAGAATAAGTTACAGACGTGACACCCATTACCCTGGAATACTTTAGTGCATATTTCCTACCAACAAGGTCATTCTCCTAGATAACCACAGGACCAACATCAAAATCATGAAACAGTATGACTAGCTAATCCACAGACCCCATTCATATCTCTCCATTTGTCCAGGCAATGTCTGTTGTAGTAGAAGAATTTAATGCATTGCAGTTGGTCGGTCTGTTTCTTTAGTCTCTTTCAATCTGAAACAGTTCCTCAGGTTTTCTTTGACTTCCGTGGTCTTTCAGTTTTGAAGAGTACAGGCCAATTATTTTGTATAATGTCCCTCAATTTCGATTTGTGTGATGTTTCCTTATGATTAAATTCAGGTTATGTGCATTTGGCAGGAGTATCACAGCAATGATGCCATAATCTTATTGCATTGTACCAGGTGGTAATGTCTGTTCCATTACTGGTTATGCTAACTTT